TCTCATGGAAAGTTCTTCAGGCTGGAGAATCCTTGTCGCAGTCCTGCTGATTGCACTGAGCACCGAACTCCTCTGACAGGCTGTAGAGGTTATTCTGTAAAGTTAATCCAATTCTGAAGTGGATTATCAATATCAAATCTCCTTAACCTTAGGCACGTACAGTAAAGCATGACACTTGTATATATTCTTTCCTGTCAGGAATTCCTATCTTCATGCAGCGTTAAGAGTAATTGTCAGATGGTTACTGATAGTATGTGCATATTTCTGTCTGCAGCAGTATTTGCTTTGATTGTGAATTCATTAGCCTAATTCATTTTACAGCAGGTGAATAGTGATGATTTTGTATGGTAAGTTTTGAATAAATGTACTTAGTGTAAAGCGCTGTCAGTAGGCAGTGCTCCCCTGCTGTATCTCAGTTCAAGCATCTGCATGGAGCAAAAGTTCACATGGGTGCTCCTGAAGTATGATCTTCTTTCTAAGGATTAGCAGCAACGTAAGCAGTGTGGAAGTCAGTTGTTATATCAATAACACAAATGTGTGTTCAGAGGTAAATGTTTGTACATGCCTACTGTGAGAAAAGTATCCAGCAGTGAGCTTTGTATGGTTTTGGAGCCACTGCAGAGAGGTATAACGTAGCCAGCTTTCCTCATCTGTTTTTAAAGAGATGATGTGGAGGTTCCAGGTGCTGTTTACATAAGCTTGTGCATTAGAGGCTTCTTAATGTTTACAGATTAAAGATGAGTGACTGTTTCCTTATTTTGTCTTGCAGTAAATAAAACATCACCATTTTTCTGTTTATCTATATTTTTTGCTATTCTGTTTAGCATAATAGCAGCCTACTGAGAAGGTCTTGCTTGCAAGAACCTCAGAAAATCAAATTTTGTTTTAAGAAACCTGGCATACTTACTAGATCAAAGCCTGCGAAGCACCTAATTCCTGAGGAATCTAGTTTTTAAGAGTGTTAAATGTTTGCACTTAAAAAGAAATAAATTGTCATATCAGCTCAGATCAGAATGAAATACACTGCTGTGATAGGTCAGGTGATGCATTTGGCAACTTTTTGTTTATTTTCATTACTATAAAAGAATGATGGCACAGGATTGTAAATGCCAGTATTACAGAGTGCTTTCAGTTCAAAATACTGTGGTGTTGATGGCAAAGAAAAGAATAGTGGAAAACTTAGGGATAGGACCCAGCCCATTGGGCTTTAATTGTCTGAGGGTTAGCCTTATTGTCACTAGGCTCCAAGCAGGGCTATGGGGGGAGGAGGTGGGGTTGAACCTGGAGAGAGCAATGCGAATGAAGCAGTCTTAGCAAACACCTGGGAATGAACACCCAGCTATTCAGATGTATGTATGGGAATAGTTTTTTCATGTGCAAGCTGAGTTCTGCTCAGCTCTGTGTCTGAAAAACTCCACTGAAATCATCAGCTTTGCCCGAGTCAGTCGTCTGCTTTCTTCTGTGCTGGAGTCCTTCATAAGCATTGCTGCTTGTGCTGCTTTAAAGGTTGGAAAATGTGTCAGTTGTCCAAGTGGCTGAGGAAGACACATCAAAAGAACAGACTGCTGGACTGGAGTATGTCCAAGGGGAACAGAAGTCAGGAAATACTTTGTATAGCATTCAGGTGTTGAAACTAAAAACTATGTTCTTCCACATCAGGACAGTGGGACCACTGCAGGATTGCAAGAGGTCTCATGTTGACAAATTCGTTTTTCCTGAGTGGGCAAAGTCAGGATAACAACCAAAGTAATTGTTGTTTTTGCAAAAGCTGCATCACTGACACTTTGGAGAAGTGGTGACTTAAACTGACTGAGGCTATACAGGGGTGAAGCTGTGCGAGCCTGTGGCAGGCTTTGCTGTCAGGGCTGTGCCAGGCTTTTTGCTGGAAGGAAAAAGACATTAATTAGAGGATATTTTCCTGGATGTTATTTAAGACTACAATTTCTCCCTCTGTGATTTCTAGCAGGCAGTTTCCATCACTGATGGATCAACAGAAGATCCCAGTTTTTAAGGAGTTATATAAGAACAGTGTTTTGATACTCACAAGCCATGGCCTCATCTATGAAGAATGAGAGCAAGATAAAAAATACAAAAGGCAACTTTCAAATAACAGATCTGAAGTCATGACTGAACTGTTTAGTATCTTAACGTGTACTTTTTCAACATTATCACCATACAGGAAAAAGCAAAACACAATGGTTGACTCTTTCATTTTGTGATCTCAATATGACCCCCGTGTCCTTTGGTGAACGTGCAGGCTACTTTTCATCATGAAATAGCAGTACTGTAAGTATGCTGTGTAGCTATCCTGTACTCATTGTGAATATTTCAGCCTGGTTTTGTTCCAGGGAAACTCTACTGAAGTTATAGAGTGCCAAAAGTATTATAAGGGAAAAAAGGATGTTTTTGTTTCTTCAAAATGTGTGCCTCTAAGTATCAGTAAGCACCAGGGCTGTGTTTCAGGAGTTGCTGTCTGTCTTTCCTCTCTGGTTTAGCATTTATGAGTAGGTCCTGAATTGTGCAGCAAGGTAAATGTCTGTGTCACGTGTAGAACAATGAGATCAAAAGAAAAAATCATCCCACTTTAAAAAGATGTTTCTGAGAATACCAACATCTGACCTCTATATCTTCTTATGCTAGAGTCAGTGGCATTTGATTCCTAAACTGCCCAGCCTAACATGTTGCAGTTTGCGCTTTGAGATTTATTGCTGTGTACACGCTGCAGTGAAACACTGCAACTTTCCGTGGCTGAATGACGTGATGAAAGCTTCTATTCAGCAACGGGCAAGATGAGATACAGCGGTGCTAATCTGTGACACATGTGAAAAATGGAACTAATGAACTCAGAGGACAGAAAGTCCAGATACCAGCGGTCATATTCTTTGTCTGCAGCTGCTGGAACAACAAAAAAAAGAATGGTAATCGTTGCAGCCCTTTGGAGGGTGTCAGATCTCAGGAAGGAGTTAACAACATCTGTGGACATAGAGCATAGTCTGTGCTCTGCACATCAGCTCAAATATTTATGAATGAAGGTCAGATGTGGCCTTTCCAAGCTGCAGTCCCCTGACTGTTTACAAAATACCGCTTGAAGAAGAACACAGCCAGGCTGAGTTACAACCTGACTGTGTGTGTGTGTGGGTCAGAAATGTGACACAGTGAATTCTGTGTGGTGGGGCTGAGCCCAGCCCTATGCTGGGGCTCTGCTATTAATAACAGCTCTGAGTCACAGAAGCAGCGATGTCAGACTGCCGGGCTGCGCCTCGCTTACATGTTGGGCTGCTAACAATAGAAAGCCAGCCGAGGTTTGCTGGGGGATAACTGCTTTTTTCCATACATGAATCTCTGTCAGTCTCTCTAATTTATGTATTTGATTATGAAAGAATATCATTGATTAAGATGGATCTTTTGGGTGAAGCAGACTCATTCATTTCTTTCTGTTGTTCTTGTGGCATTTTATACAAACCACTTAGGATTTATTTACTGAAAATATTTTTAATGCTGGATGTATGTTCTGTTTTTCCAGCATGTGTCAGCCATCTGGTTCTCTGGCTGGCTGGTGCCTACAGCCAGTTTCTTTATATCAATTTATCTTTCCCTACGTATAGCGGCACTGAGAAGGAATTCTCTCATGGAAGTGTGAGTTCCAGGTCAGACCCAATTCTAAAAAATAGAGGTTTCTCAAGAAACAGAGGTTCCTCAGACTCGGGGCTGTACATAGGGTTTGCTTTAGGGTGCTGTGTAATTTGTTCCTCCTCCATGTAACCTAGACCAGATAGAGCCCTGAGCTGTGGTCAAGTTGAAGCTGTAAGCCAATGAATCTGCCCATCTCCTAGCCCAGAATAGCTTTGTATTCAACCCAGTTCTCTTCTGCTGAGGTCACCTTTGTCCTTGGCAAGTCAGTTCATTTTCCTTTGTCATTTTCTCCACCTCTAAAACAGGTATTAAAATATACTGCCCAAGGGAAGGCATGCTGGGGTAGGTTTATGTTGGCAAAATCACTTGTGGCCAGCTACAGTGAGGAATAAAGTTATTTATAAACGAGGAAAAAGCAGTATATAAATACAATAGTATTGCTACTTGATACAGGTAGGATAAATGTATTAAAAATAAAACATGTTAAGTGCTTTTCATGAGCATTCAGGATTCTGAGTAATCGTATTTCAAAGCTTTTGTCCATAACTGGGAATAAAAATGGGCTTGTGAGAATAGAGCTTTAATTCTCACCTAACTCTGAGCTGTTACCTTTTAATAAAAAACAGAAATATTCCCTATTGTGCTATAAGACAGTGAGACTTGCTGATATTGTAAAGAGTTTGTTTGTATGGTTTTTAACCTCAACTTATTACTGGCCAGTCCTTCCCTGGTAGTGTTTAGTGCCTGTAAAACCAAGGCTTGGAGGGTTGGTTTGTTGTCCAGAGTCGAGATGCTGGGGGTGAGCTTCACCCCATCAGTGCTGCTGGTTTGGTATGCTGCTCTTTCTTCTCAATTCCGTCAATACTTACGGCTGTCATCCCCAAAGGAGTCACAGAAGAGGAGTTGGAGCTCCCAGGTGTTTGGTGACTCAGAGTACACGGTACTTGACTCACACCAGCTTGGCTATGGTACAAAACCCCGTTGCTCACTGATCTTGCAATTCCGATATTCATTTTATTTTAATTCTTATTTCGTGTAGTAAGTAGAGTCAGCACTCCCAGTTTGTGGATACTGTGGATACTGTATGTGTTATTGTGTTCTGTACCACAGTCAGGGGACATTAGGAGATTATTTATGACCATGCCTTGTGGTCTCGTAATTGTTGTTTGGTAACAGTTTTAAATTAAACCAGGAGTGGATGGAGTTCTCACCAGAGAAAATCCACTGTGCTGCAGCCTGCCTCAGCATTTGCCCGTGTTCATCTTGTATTTCCCTTTCTCATCCTGGCTCAGCTTGAGTAAATAAAAATCAAAAAGCCCTCGCAGAACGCGCTTCAGCTCTGCATGTGTTTGAGCAGCTCCCTCTTTTCTCCCACATCTTCTGACTGTCAGCCTTTTGCCAGTCGCTTGGGAGCAGATTATTGCCAGCTCAGTCCTGTGAGGGTAGAGGAATGCAAGGTGGTGTCAGCGCCGGGAGCCGCGGCCATGGAATCCAGCATTTGTTACGCAGCAGCAGCTGAAGCGGGCTGGCTCGGCACAAGGGGCAGAGTCCATATGCAGGGTAGGAGCTGCAGGAAGAGACCACCGTGGGAGAAGATAAGAGGCACACAAAGAAGAGACGGGGCGAGCGATAGGACTGCATCCGCGCTCGTAGGAAATCTGAGGAAGACAATTATCTGGAATAAGCTCCCGCTTTCTTTTTTTCTGTTTTTTTGTTTTTTTAATTTTAAATTCACCTCAACCAAACGCTGCTGGAGAAGAGGTTCTGTTTAAATTGCTTCAGCTAATTCTTGCTGCTTCCACGACGAGGCAAATTTGTTTGCCATGGTGAAAGAAAAAGGTAATTCTGTTTATTGGCAGATTGGAACTGAAAAGGACTAATGTGCCAGCCACAATTACCTGAGGTTTAAACCTTTGCATTTAAAATGAACCATGTCTTCACCGACAGCTTTCCTTTCTGTAGATGATGTGCCAAAACTGCAGTGGGTTGCTTTGATTGTCTTTGTACCTGTTTCTGTAAGGGTAGAATCCAGAACACACCTGAACTAAGGTGTTTGCACAGCTAGGTTCCTTCTAGGTGTGTATGTATCTTTATTTTCTGTGTGATTCTCCTTAAGTTTGCTGTTGATGGTTTGTTACCTGTGTTAGTCACAGCTCAAAGAGCTGAACTGCCAAAGCAGTTAGCTTAATTTTTAAGATAAACACATTCAGCAAGCCTGGACACGACATGGTCATGTCTAACCTTTTAGTGAAGAGGTGATTTATATGGGAATTTTGTATCGTGTTGGAATTTTGCAGCAGTAAATTACACGTGTTTCAATTCTGCCCGTAAGTAACACATTAAGCCTGCTACAGAAGCTGGCTGAAGAATTTAAGTGTCATTGTGCAATATTTCCTCACAGTAAGAGCAGTCTGTACTGTTCATTGCATCGTGAAGATGTGAAGTAGATCCACAATTATATTTGAGCGGTGGGCTTGGATGTGCCTTGGGAGCATTGCTTTGTCACAGATTCACACTTACCCTCTGTTTTATGAAGAGCAGGAACTGTGTTTACTTTTCTGAGGGTTCTGTGAAAGATCACATGTGATGAATTCAAACTGAGTAAGAAACAAAGTCGTTACGTTGGATGAGAGTGAGTAGTTTTTCAACTGTGAACACATGCATCATAATTTCATGCTATAAATGAAGTAAATTGAGGGAATTTAGCCTCACTGGGTTTACATGTGAGTAGGACAAAATCTTTGGTAGTCTACCATGTTGTATCAGATAGGTGGAGAGTTGTAGTCAGAAGCATTTTTCAGGCTTCCGATGGCTTTTGTTGGTGAGAAGTGTAAGTAGTATTTGGTTACTTAGCAGATCTGAGATCCATTACTGGAGGTTTACGGGATCATTTTTACAGTGGTGAGCTGCTGACCTGCTTCCAGTGTTTATAAGCCATTAAGGGATGGTTTAAGAAGCAGTTTCATTCCAAATGCTTGAAGCTGTAACTTTCCAAGATTTGATATCACTGAGATCAGTTACACTTCTCATCTTTACAGGAAAGTGTATTAGCATTCAGCTTATAATAATTGGTGATTGTCTTCTAAGATATGTTTTGGAATTAGGCTGCTGATGTTCTTGAAGTGCTCAGTAGATGTATGTGTAGCAGTTTCGGCAGTCAGTACATTTCTGCTCCCTATCCAGCCCGTGTGCAGTTGGTTCAACTCCTGGAATTAATCTGTAAATAGTATTCACAGGTGAAAGTTGTGATGTAGCTGTAAGGAAATTAAAACAAGCCTGTCATTTTCATTTAAAGAAAAAAGGAAGCAAAATACTAACTGAGTGGAAAAAGCTGACAACAGTGAAGTCTTGTATTTAAATTGATCTGTTTCCCCCAACCAATCATCCTCATCATCCCCACCAATTGAATAGCTAGTAATATTGATGTTGGGTATAAAAATTTGTCTTCTGTTTGCACAGGTCATAGAATAAAACAGTCTATTTTTTGCTTTTAATTGCTTTTAATTTTGTGGTACAGTTACTGATAGTTCATACATCATTACTGCAAAATGAGAGATGTTAATACCATTTGTACTTTTAAGCTGCTACAGATATTATTCTCTGGAGTGATATGCTTGCAAAATGCAGGGCAGTTTGGTACCATGGCTCTCTTCCAGCCACTGAAGAAATGCTTGTTTTTTAACAAGCTAAAAATGCGTTCAGTCCTGTATCAGTTGGTTGACACGTTATCGAGGCACTGGAGGGGCTGGTTTCAACTAGAAAAATGGAATCCCAATTCACTGAAGTGCGAAGTGGTTAGTAACAGTTTTTAGAGAATTAGCATGCTTCATTATGCTCATAATGTGGAATGATTTCAGTGTCTGCCTGGTCAATTCGCATAGCTGCAAAAAAAATCCTGAGGCCAGGGTGTTTTCTGCTGACACCAAATGGCGCTTCCTAAATGACGGATGTTTGACTGATGCCACATTTTAATTCCTCTGACTGTTATTTACTCTTGTCCAATTATGAGCCCTTATTAATTATCTAGTTATTTAGATAAAATTATTGTCATTGTCTTGCAGCCAACTTACTCTTTTTCTATCCTGCAACAGAAGGGAAGTTTACTATGCATATCTGTATCTTGTTGTTAGCTGTCTTCTGCTGTTTATTGAATGATCAGCATTCTGAACGCTTCAGCTAATGACTGAATTTTGCATCTGCCAGCCACGTGGCTGGGTGTGTTATCCAGAGCTTCATTTGTACCTCTGTTCCATCACAGTAAGAGGATTTAGCCCTGATTCTTGATTTCCTGACCTAGCCCTCACCACCTGGTCTGTGGGTACTGGAATCAGTTCTTTATCTGATGAACTCTTGGATTGGGTCGTAGATGAACCAACATATGGAAGTGGAGTAACATCTATTTGTGCCAAGCTTCTCCATGCTTGGTTGGATCAGAGGGAAAAGAGGAAGGGCTGACGTCTTTTAGGGTTGTGGAAGTAGTCAGGAGGCCTATGATTTCTATTCAGGGTGTTCTGTTCCTGTTGAAGGGTAGGTGCCTGCACCTGCTGGGTACCAGGCTGCAGTAAGCTAGGTCACATTTGCAGCTTCTCACAAATGTCTCTGCAGATACACAGTTAGTAAAATAGTAGGTAAAATAGTAGGGCTTCCCAGAGGACAACACAGAAAGTTCACCAAAATGTTAACATTTCCTGTATGATATGGCTTCTGATCTAATTAAGTCTTGCAGAGAGACTTATTTCTTTTTTTTTTTTTTTTTCATACCACTGATAAAGCATGTTATTGATAACCCTTAAGGTTATGACCAAGAGGGCTGTTTTTCTGCTAGCAGTAGCTCCAGTCTTGCCCTCTCTTCCACTCACATATCTCCTAAACCACAAGTCACCAAGCAGCTTTTATTCTTCTTATTTCCCTTGAAATCAATTGGGCTGCTTTCAGTGGGAACTGTACTTGAAGAGCATGCTAAATGCTACCTCTGTTAATTTCAGTGTGTTCTCTGTCTGGATCAGTCTTTCCATCTCTCTGTTTATTTGCAATCTCAACATTTATTTCCAGTGTGAATGAAGAAAATGTTTAACAATGGGATCTGGGTCCTGGTGCTGTCTTTGTGTTGTGGGTGGTGATGAAAAATAGTCTCGATTTGAACTCATGATTTTAGAACTTTTATCCCCAGGTGACCTGGGAAAGCCTCCATGCTTGTTGCTTTTGGAGCATCTGACAAGATTATGCGTTTACACTTTGTCAGGGAGGATTGGGCAGTTTTGTTTTCTTTGGTTTACTTTGCTTTACATTTTCTCCTGCTTGCCAGTTTACTTCAGGTGCTAGGTGTTTGGGGTTTTGTTATGATTAAGTCAGTGCTAGCTTGGAGGAGCCACAGAAAAAGGCATTTTATATATATGTGTAGTGTTCTTGTCGTTAAGGTGCTAAACTACAGAGCAGTTCTGTCTTAGAGACTTTCTAAGGTGACCTTGGGGAAGTAATATGATCTCTCCCTGTGTTAGTTAATCTGTAAAATGAGGATAAGAACATTCCTCTTGTCTGCCGTGATTGTTTGAATTAGAGGTCTTTGGAGCAGAGTTTCTTTTTCCTTGTGATGGATGTGTAAGGTAGTCTTAGGTTGGGGATTTAGCCGCTACCGCTTGACACAAAAAAGATCCGATGGTATGTGAAATATCCTGTAAACATTTATTACTTTTATTACTTTTTAACCCAAGACAGCGGTAGAACAATTATGCTTTTATTGACGAATGTATCATATCGCTTGTTCTCCACTTTCTAAATTTCTTTATAATCTTAGGTTTCAAATTGCAGTTCTGGTATTGCGTGCTGACACGGAGAGAAACAAAAGTACCCAAAGAGCAACCAGTTCAGGCACTGCCTGCTGGCTGAAGTTTTTGTGGGTTTGTGTTTGTTTGGGGCTTTTTTTTTTTTTTTTTCTTAATGTAGCACTTAGTTCACACCAGGGCATGAATATTCAAGTCCCAAGAGTAAAGGCAAGTGCAATCCCACCAAGCCTGGTGGCTTCCCGTGTTCCCAGCAGTGAAATTCCATGCATTCCTTGCATCCCAGTTGCTTGTACAAGCAGTGCTCTGAAGGTACGTTGGCAGCTATTTTATTTTATGTGGAGAAGTGGGGAGCCCATTTGCCATTGATCTCACTGGAGGGGAGGGCTTAGTGGCTTTAGGCAATAAATTCCAGACCACAGAGCTCAAGCTTCAGATGGTGATAGAGGCAATTAAGCTGTTCCTTTTTTAAGAACAGACACAGGGAGCATCACAGGCCAACAAAACTGTTTTGAGCTGGGGAATTGCAATCAATTTAATGCCAATTAACAAGTTTTTTATTACTGATTCTTTCTCTGTAAAATGAAAAAGAAAAAAAACAACCAACATGATCAGAGAAACATACCTTGACTTTTCTGCTTCCCACTTTCTGGTCTCCTGTCCTCATGTCGTGCCTTATGCTGTGTCTTATCATCCCTCCTGCTCTGACATCTCCCCCTGAGCATCTGTCCTTTTGACATTTAACATTCTTTCAGTACAGTTTTGCAAAGGTGCTGTGTGCTCCTCTGATTGTTTTGATGCACATCGGGTCCATTTTGTCCATTACTGAGCTGGCTGTGAGCATGACCAGTGCAGGGCAATCCTTGGCAACCTCCTACGCAGCACTGCCTCCATCCCCTGCTACTTACACTTGGTACAAGTGGGTAGACTGCAGATCATATCATTGGATGTCTTGGATGAGAATTTGAAAGGCAAGGCTTTTAAAGACACTGGCAGTTGCTTGGTATAGGGAATTGAATGCTTTTAGAATATGTTAAACTAGGGACAAGAAGTATTTTT